AACACAACCTCCGCAGTAAACTCAGAGATGTGGTTGTGGGTTTTTACTCCCCTAATTATAGAAATTTTTTCAATTAATTTGGAGAGCGATGTTCAAAAAAGAAAATTTTTTTACTGATGTCCAAGAATTTCAAAAACTAAAGCTGAATTACTTCTAAATTGTGAGCCTAATGAAATTTCTATGTGTATTCCTTAATAATATTTTAGTAGTTCTTTTATCTTTTACGGCTGTTTGAAAAAACTTTTTAGGCAAATTGCTAAGCTATGCATCTGATGAAATAACTAATTATTTTTTAGATAAATAATTATTTTTTTTTTTTTCACATTTTTTTTTTATTTGTGTTCGATAAAGAAAATTAAAAATTTTAAATTTAACATGTATTACGAAATAAATCTATATGACAAGTAAAATATAAATATTATTTATAATAATCCGTATTAAAATAAATAGATAAATAATTATTTTCTTAAAATTTTATAATTTATTTTATCTTTTTTAATAATCTTTAATAATTGTTTTAAATTTTTAGTAATTCAACTTTTAACTTAAAATTAAAGGATCAAAGATTTTTTAAATTTAATGACGCAGTTAACCTCAACAATTTTTAAAATCACATTTGGTTAATTAGGAACTACACGTTCCCATTTAATTATAGGTAGTATTTACATTCGAATTTTCGCAAATTTAAAGCTTAATCTGAAAATTAATCTTGCTGAAAAACTTTTTGATTGATAAGTTTAAAAAAGAGAAATTAAAGAAAAAATTTTTGGTTATCTTTAAAATTTATTTTCATTCAAATAATCAATGTTAAAATTTTAGTGTTGGCGAACATTTTTATAGCCTTTTTTTTCTTTATTTGCTTAAGATTATTATTAGAATGCGAAAAAGGCGAGGGCTCTTACTAAACTATCGAGAAAAATTGTTTGTTAACAAAAGTTTTCATCTATTTTTCGTCGATTTGATTGCTCATTGGGAAATATGAACTTCGATAATTCGGTGTTTATAAGTTATTTTTGCTAAGTTAAATTTCAAATAATGTCCTAAAATCCCCACTAGTACCAAAAAAACAAAAGTGAAAATGAGAGACTAAAGAACAATTTTCTTAAAATATAAAAATTTTCACGTGTAAAATTATTTAAATATACAGGGTGACACAAAAAGGATGTCCCACTTGTCAATCCATTATAACTTCTTTTATTCTTTTCATTTTTAAATAATTTTATACTCTTTTTGTAGCCCATTCAATTCTCTATATTATATAGTAAAATTAAAGATTTTTGATTAAGGATTGGGAAAGTTATGCAATTTTACATATACTAGTGATGCTCGGGAGAAGAAAAAACCCGGGAATCGGGAAACGGGAGTCGGGTCGGGAAATGACCTCGGGAGTCGGGATCGGGAGTCGGGAATTAGCAATAAAAAATTTTTCTAAAAATTTCAAAACTTTTTGCCGCTTTCCGCGCCAAATGCACCATAGGCAAACTAGTAACCGCAGAGATAATCAGTGTTGGGTATTGCTGGGGGCTTTTTCTTTGAGCCAGAGCCCAGCTTTGATTTATATTTGTTGTCATTGACCTTAAGTCCTTAGAATCTCTCCATTGGAGTGAAATAGAGGAAAAGTGAAACAGAGAACATTATTTTTACGTTCAATTTTGTGGAATTTTGGTGAACTAGCCACATATATCTTTATATCCCCTCAATAGTATTAACACCCCCTATGCAACATTAATCTTCCATTGATATCTTTCTTTATTGCTGCAAATCCCTCGTTATTTCTTTAAATTCACCATAATCCTAGTAAATCACCGAAATCTTCTATACTACAACTCCACAGATTCTTCAATTTTCAGCGGCGCAGGCGAAAATTTTGGGAATTTTAGAAGACCAAGAGGTCAGATTTTTTCATTTTTTCTAAATAAAAATATAATTTTGTCAGAAAAATCCATTCTTAGGGGTGTAAAAATTTCCCGACTTAGTCGGGAATTGACACCGGGAGTCGGGATCGGGATCGGGAGGCCAAAAACTCGGGAAATTTTCCCGAGTCGGGAGTCGGGATCGGGATACCCGAGCATCACTAACATATACTATATCAAAATCTGCCCCCCAAAATTTCACTTTCTGTATCTCAACAATGAAAAGCCCAACCGGGATGATCTCAACAGAATTTAATTAAGCTTATTAGCAAGCCTAACGAATCAGAAAGCTGAAAACTCCAACTCTTACGTAGTTGGCTCTGAGTAGATGTAAGTCAGTTTTGGGGGGAGTGCGATTTACTCATTTTGGGAGGGTTACGCGCAATCGAATATCTCTTTAAGCGTTAACCCAAAAAAATTTTGTTTTATAAATTCTATAGTCCAAAGACTGCTCTAAATTCCATAAAAATTTTGTGTAATTCATGCATTCTGTTCTAAAGTTATAGGCAAAATTCCTCAAAAAAAGGTGCGTGCCGTATCGAAATTTTTTCTCACTTGCCTTGAACTTTATCTCAAAGTAGAATGCGGAAAATTCTAAAAAATTTTTATATCTTATTCTTCATTTAGTTCTCTATAATATTATCTTTATTTTATCTCATTATCTTAATTCTAAATAAAGTTATGACTAAAAATAAGTGGGACATCCTTTTTGTGTCACCCTGTATATATTTATTTATAGTGAATGATTAATAATATTTATTGTGAATAACTTTTTATAATTTCATTTTTTGACTTTTTTTTTGTTTCATAACCAAAATTAATGGATCTTTCAAAATTTATTTGTTGCCTAATTTTATTTATAATCCTAATATTAACTTCATTATATTATTTAAATTATAACGAACGTGCTTAATTTTATATTTCAAATTATCTAGAGCAGTTTAATTATTAAATTTTAAAGGATTTAAATAAGTTGCGCTATTTTCAGGAATCGCAAAGAAATTTTAGAAAATTTTTTTTCAAAAAATCTTTTTTTTCAGGAATCGCACAAGGATGTGTGCAAACTCTAAGAAATTCGGATTATTAGCTAATTGTGTAGATTTTGCTCTTTAAGGGTTTTTATCTTCATTTTTCCTTAAATATAATCACTAGGGTGTTTCAAAATATGCACGAAAAATCCAAAAATATGCGCATATATATGCAACGAAAAAGCCCAAAATATGCATCAAAATATGCCAAATTTGCCTAAATATGCACTAAATATGCAGCAAAAATAATGAAAATGTGCTTTAAAAACCAATATTTCAAGTAAAAAATATTAATTCAGCATTTAAATTGCAGTTTAAGAGCACTTCTAGAAGATTTTATTAACTTTAAATTCATCCAAGAAAAATTTTCTTGAAAAAAATTTTCCCGAAAAATTTTTCAAAAGAATTTTTTCAACAAATTTTTATTAAAAAATTTTTTGCTCAAAAAATTCCAAAATTTTGAAAATTTTGCTCGATTCTTACTAAAATTTCTCAAAAAATGACAAAATATGCACAAATTTAGGTTAAAATATGCAAAATTTCCCAAAATATGCACCGATATGCAAATATGCACAAAAGTACCGAAATATGCAAAAATATGTTATAGGAACCCGGTCCCTAATAATCGTACCGACGTAAAACACCATTTTTGAGCGTTTCAGCTAATAGCATATCCGCATACAAAATATGCATTTGCATGTTTTGAAACACCTTAATAATCACATTACTTTTGTCTTTTTTATATATAATTTTTCTCATAATTTTTCTGGCAAATTTATTTCATTTTCAAAAATTTTTCAGTTATTTTTGAGGTTATAATTTTATTAAAATGCATTTATTTTTATTGTTTTTTATTATCCATTGTAAGTGTGCATGTTTGTAGTATGTACCTTTTGGTGTTCGTTATAAATAAAATTAAAAAATAAATAAATGAGCCGCGGTCCCTAGAAAATCTTCAAAGTATATTATGAAGGTATCACGACTTTTGCGCCGAGAACATTTGCGCCGCGACTTATGCGCCGCGACTTTTGCGCCGGGCGACTTTTGCGCCGCGACTCTTGCGCCACGACTTTTGCGCCGGGCGACTTTTGCGCCGCGACATTTGCGCCGCCATTGTTTAAAAAATCCGGATCTGAAAAATGCCGGATATCCGAAATTTTCAGTTCTGATATCGGATCCGGATATCCGAATATTTCCAACTATCCGACAACCCTACTAAAGTGATTTCCGGCTGTAGTTATTGATACATTTTTAATGATAGTTGCGGCGCAAAAGTCGCCCGGCGCAAAAGTCGCGGCGCAAAGGTTCCCCGGCGCAAAAGTCACTCGGCGCATAAGTCGCGGCGCAAAAGTCGCGGCGCAAATGTTCACGGCGCAAAAGTCACGGAACCATAATGAATATTTTCAATTTAATTTACATTATGTCATTATTTGTATGTTCATTTGTGTGTTGATTCTTCTAGTAGAATATAGTACGTTTAAGTATACGTTAATGATCTAAAGAGAAAGGAAAATGAAATTTTTTAAAATTATGTAACGTGGTTTAGCTAAAATAAATAAAAAGATTTTCTTATAAAACTTAAAGATTATTTATTAAATTATTTTTTGTTTCATAATAGCAATTAATGGATCTCTCAAAATTTATTTGTTGTTTAATTTTATTCATAATCCTAATATTAACTGCATTATTTTATTTAATTTATAACCAACAAAATCAACTTTATATTCTCAAATCGTCTAAGGCGGTATTAATTAAATTTTAAAGGATTTAAATAAGTCGGGATGCTTATTTCTATTTTCAGGAATTCACAAAGATTTGAATTTAAAGGAATTAATTTCTTGATAGGACCCAGTAAATCATTAAAATCGAGGATGACTTCAAAAAAAAGTGGGATTTTGAAGGGTTGTAAAACATATTTTTGAGTTTTTACAACCGAAAAATCCGAGCCCTACTGATATAAGAATTAAAAATATGAAGCGTTTAAGAAGTTACTACCTAAATCATTTCCAATTTTCAATTTAAAAATTATGTAATTAAGATAGAGATTAAAAAGCAGAAAATGCCCCCAATTTTGATATGGAATAAATGTATTCGAGTATCAAGTCAAGGAATCGGTTATCCTGATTATCCTGTGATCAAAACAACCATTAAATGTCCGTTCAATTGTACTTTTACTACCGATAGAAAATTGTATGTTTGAGTTTAAATAAAAAAGACGGCCGAGACCATCACAGAAAATTCAAAGATAGGAAAGATGTTACCTTACTTTAAATGAGTATGAAGCCTTATGAGTAAATGCGGCGGTTTTAAGATATCCTTTAGTTTGAGATGATACAAACACAATTTTGTATTATAAATTTGATAGAAAGGGTTAGTCCTATTAGGTTAGTCCTATAATGATACAAAGATGATCAAGAGATGATACAAACACAATTTTGTATTATAAATTTGATAGAAAGGGTTAGTCCTATTAGGTTAGTCCTATAATTTGATAGAAAGGGTTAGTCCTATTAGGTTAGTCCTATTAGTCCCTGAGGTTAGTCCTATTAGGTCCCTATCGTGGAGCTCTTCCAGTTACATGAAAATAAACTCGTGAATTCTCTATGATTTTTGGTCTTTTGTATTATACGTTTGATAAATTGATAATTATTAGTGTTTCACCGGAACCGAAATTTTGACCGGAACCGGAACCGGAACTTTTCTAAGTTCCGGCCCGGAACCGGAACCGGAACCGGAACTTTAAAAAAATTTTATTTTGCTAGCAAATTTTAAAAAATTTGCATTTTGATTTGGGTTGTAGGTTTCACCAAATTTTTCGGTTAACCGAAACCGAACCGTCTAACCGAATAGAAACTTGGTTAACCAAAACCGAGCCGAAAATTTGTCGTCGTTTAGTGATATATGTGGATTAGAGAGTGATGTATAAACGGATTTGTCGGATATAACTGTTTGATATCGGGCGATAAAAATGTTCTGAATTGCAAGAAAATCCCATATCTACCTACTCAATTTCTCGATATCACACCCAAATCCACGATATTACCTATGACCGTTTGAAATCATGATATAACTCAAAATCCAAATTAATCCATCCAAATCCTCCGATATAACATTCAACTTCTTTTTAAGCGCCGCAGGCGAAAGATTTTGAGAGTCTGTGAGGACAAGAAGCCAAATTTCTTCCCTTTTCAGCGCCGCAGGCGAAATTTTTGAAAATTTATGAAGGCCATAAGCAAAAAAATTCACTATTTATAAGTCAAACTAAAAATTTAAAGAAATTTAGAGGGCCAAAAACCACAATTACTCCATGTAAAAATAAAATAATTTTAAAAACAAAATTATAAACTTATAAAATAAGTTTTTAAGGAAAGAAAAACATGCAAATTAATTGTCGTATGCCTCGGAAGCGAACCCATCTTTAAATCATTCACGCCAGGGGTGAAGTCTAACACCTTAACCACTCGGCCACCCGCTTATATTAGGTCAATTGACAGAAAATAAACATATTTCTTTATATTTTTTTTAATACACAAGCATGAGAGTACGAGTAGTTTATTAATTTTTCTAAAAAAATCAATCTTTAGGGGTGTAAAAAAGTTCCGGTTTGCCCGGAACCGATTTGAAAACCGGAGCCGGAACCGGAACCAATTTGAGTTCCGGTTCCCGGAACCGGAACCGGAACCAAAAAAACACCGGAACTTTCCGGAACCGGAACCGGAACCGGAACTTCCGGTGAAACCCTAATAATTATGCAATTAAATATTATTTTATGATTACTAGAGCTATCCAAGATTGATTTTCCAAAACTTAAAACCAAAAGTCTTGAACAAACCTAGTGATTACAAATAAATATAATTTTATTAAGTGAGACAAACGCGTCAACAACGATTTTCTTGCTCCATACATTCTGTGCAATAAATTCATGGCCTCAAAATCGTAGAGAAGATCAAAATTATATGATGTTTACAGTTGAATCTCCTATACAGACTACCTTGAAATATTATGACAGAAAATTTCTAACAGACAAATTTTTTAATAGTACAGCAACTTATCGTTTAGATAGTTCTGTATTTATGCCTTATGATGTTTTAACCAGAATTACTCCAACTACTCCAAAAGAATATATTTGGGATCAAAAAGAGGTAACTAAAATACAAACGGTGCAGAAAAATTATGATGGTGTATCATTAGAGGGAATCGCCTAGGTATCTACTCCACGTTTGATTAGAAAAATTACATAATTGTGACTCAAATATGAGGATGTTTTAAATTAAAGGTTCTGGCAACAGTTAAGAACAAAACAAAATTAGCTTTCCAAGCAATATCTCATTGTAATTCTGAATCTGGTCGTGATCTTATTTCAAGAAAACTGCAAAAATTAATAGGTTTGGAGGTTGTTGGTGTGTGTTATGGTAGAAGAGGGTGCAATGATGAATGCTATAACAGTAATTTAGGTAAAATTAAATTTGATTTAAAAAGGCAACGAGACATTTGATACCGAATTTGCAGGCCGAATTCATCTCTATTGAATGATCCCAAAATGTATTTATACATATATGGTCTAACTCTAAATATTATCATAAGTGTAAGATCTAGAGTTGGACAAAACGATACTGGTATCGGCCAACCCGAGACCGAGACTGACCGATACTCAAGAACCCGATACCGAAACCGATACCATCATTTTGAGCCGAGACCGATACCGAGAAACGATACTGACCGAGACTAACAGAAAATTTTATTTTACGCCAAAAAATACGTGTAAAAATAATTTATTCATTATTGTTATCATCCAAATCATCAGATAAACTCTTAATCATCTGGATCCGATTCGATTGATGGCTAACATCCTTTTTATAAAAAATACATTAGTAAGATTTATAGGTAAAAGGATTATACACTCTGTTACAAAAGTATATTACATTCGATTACATTCGATATCCCACCGCCTTACATTCGATATCCCTCCAAATCCATTGATATCCCCATAAACACTCAAATCCCTCCAAACAACCCAGTATTGTATTTAAGCCTTTTAATTTTATTAAATTACTGGGACTCAATTGAGCTAGATAAAAGAGTCGTACAAACTCAATCGTGAGGGCTTAGATAAATGCTCGGATTTTGTAAGGCAAATAAAGAAGGATTCACTCTTTTTAGCGCCGCAGGCGAAAATTTTTTGTAATTCAGAAGGCCAAAGGTCAAAAATCCTCAGTTTTATTAAAAAATACAAGAAAATTGGGGTCTTTGAGTCAGTATCGTTTCTCGCCGAGAAATGCACCGAGAATATCGGTATCGGTTTCGAGACCGAGAATGAAAAAACCGAGACCGATATTGGAAAAAAGCCGAGAATCTCGGTATCGGTCTCGGTATCGGTCTCGGCTTGTCCAACTCTAGTAAGATCCAAATTCAAGCTAGAATTTTAACGTAAACTTATGTAGGTATAATAAATAATTTTTAGAAACCCACATGTTTTATTTGGCATTGGAGAATAACATTTGTCACAATTATGTAACAGAAAAATTTTGGAATTCGTTAAGATCACTTACTGTACCTGTAGTTTTTAGTAGATCTGTTTTTGAAGGAATGGATGTTCCTTCTAGCGCATTTATTGCTTTGGATGATTTTAAATCAGTGAATGAATTTGTTGCGCATCTAAAGGCTTTACAAAATGATACCGAAAGATATTTAAAGTAAATTTTAAAAATTTATCTTTTAAGGGTTGGGTAATACATACTAACAAAATATGATAAATTATTTATTCTACCCTCGACAAATAAGTAGTAGAAATATCGGGATTTAATCTAAACCGGCCGAGCAGGACCGTTATGCTTAATTACAGTCGTCTCCCTTGACCATGTTTGCTGCTGAGAGTCATACGGCCTCAATCGTAAAGCCTGAACCCTATACTTGCTGTCTAGTATAGACAACGATCCCATTCAATAGATCATTAAGATTTTTTGCTTCTTGTGTTGCATTTTCGGTAATTTAAAATTTATGGTGTAAATGCTTGTGAATTTGACTAGGAGGTAGTGAAGTTCAGAAAATCATAACTCAACCGTATATAGCTATACTTAGTATTAAAATGAAGAGTAGACTCTGAACTTTATGATGATTAAAAAGAAAAAAGAATATTTGTAAAACAACACAGCTAAAAATTTAATATAAAAAACGACCACTAATTGTTAACGGCCACTATGTCCGCAACTAATATATATGAACCAGGATATCATTTAAGTGCCAGATTTCGGATACGAAAATGGACAAGGGATATCTTGTACATTTTAATATTTTTAAATATAGACACTTTGAATGGACAAAAACATATACAAAAAGAAGATTTGGCCATGATTATTCTCCAATATGTAAAATATGTGAATATGCTACTAAACAATTTGAGAAAAAATCAAAGAATATAGTTGATTTAAATAAATTTTGGAATGATAAGGATTGTAACAAATTTAATGTTGAAAAATTTTTGAAAGATTAATAAATAATAAGTTTTAAAAATAGTTTGTTAAATTCGATCTGGTTAAGATGTTGTAGCAAAAAGCTGGCTAAAATACGAGTCGGAACCAGACTTGGGCGAATTTTTTCGAACAGAACAAAACGAAACAAATTTTTTTTTAAAATCGTTTCGTTAAAAAAATGAGACAAAACAACCAAAATTTTACTAAACGAAGCAAAACGAATCATTTTATTTTTCAAAGAACTTTTAAAACCGCATTTATTTTCACAATAATTCGACCACATTTCAATTATTCAACGATATACGATAAATTTAGCAATTTTAATTTCAAAAGATAAAATTTTTTAGAAACCTCGGGTATCCTCAAACCTCGATCTCGGACCTCGCCTCAATTTTGACCTAGGTGATCTTCGATCTCGATTTTTTCGAAAAACCTCGATCTCGCGCAACCCTAGTTTTATATAAAAGTTATTAAATTAAATTTACATGATTATTTAAATCAAAAAATATTTTTATACATTTTATAATTATTAATCCCAAGTCCCTTTCAACATTGCAAAATATTTTTCAGTTAGTTGTTGTGCCACAGTTGGAGTAATTTTATTTATTGTACTCTTCTCCAGAGATTTATTTATTTTTGGAGCACAAAAAAATATTTGGTTAAAAATTTTGAAGAAATTCTTTCTTAGAATTTTATGAAAACTAAAAAGATTAGATTTAATAATAGAATAAAAAATATTTTTAGCTTACAAAATTGTTGTAGAAATTATTAAAAAGTTAATAAACGCAATAAACAAATTGTTCAATTGTGACTAAAATTATTTACATTATTATTTTTGCTGATTTCATATACATATGTATTTCCGATATATTTTTTCATAACTATACAGAAATAACTCGGATTCTGCATAGTTATGAATTATCTATTATTATCTATGCAGAGATAACTCGTACATTTTTATAAATACCAAACACATAACTTAGCAAGAGGTTGATGATTTTTTATGTTCTTGGTACCATTGAATAACTGGTTAAAAAAGTTATGATCGAAATTTCCAAAAAATCACGTTTTTTGAAAAAGTTGGTTTTTAGATAATAATTGTTTGTCAATCAGCCGAAAATTCTAATTTTTTCAAATGATGTCCAATGGTACCAAAAACATGAAAATGTGGCCATCCCTTTACGAGTTATAGCTCGGGACTGAACTGAGCCGGGACTGAAATGAACTGCTTCACAATGTAGGATAACATTTGACACGTCTATAAAGCAGTTTTTTCTAATTTGATTTGATCATACTATATGATCTATCTTCTGATCTCCTGATCCAACTTCAAATCTTTCTTTAGATATATTCGAACCTTCTTCTTGGATACCTTGGCAGCAATTCTTGTCGACCTTGGAAATTCCCGGAAGCCCAAGACAACACTCATGCAAATCATGATAGTGGGAGATTTATGACGTTTATTCCAATTGCTGTTTTGCTCCTTAATTCCGCGGTCTTATCTTGTGAATATATAATCCTGTTATACCTAACCTATATGGTATTACGAGAGTTATTCATTATTTGATAATAAACTAACAATTATTTCACATGTAAAGTCATCTGCTTCAAAAATAATTGAATAAAATGTTTGCGAAAATGCTGTCGAAACACCCGCAACGAAATATGCCAGAATTGTTGGAGCCAATTGTAATGCGCTGCGCATGTTTTCCAAATACTTTAAAAATTGAAGTTGCTTTAGAAAAATTTTTTATTATCGAAAATTCAAATATATTTTACTCAATTTTATTTTCCTAAAACTACTGGAACTATCTCCACATTAAGTCCTACTCACCTATCGGAATGATGAACTTCTACCCACCGAAACCCTACTTCTTCCATGTAACTTTTCACCTTTTAATCTCTTGATACTATACAGCTTAATCTCAAATAAATTCGTCAATATTCACATTAATGTCTAAGCAAAAATTTTCAAATATAGGGAATCGTTATCCAACCCAAATCCCTACCAAACTTTATAATTTACCTGATAACGCTTTTTCAGCTTATATTCAGATGTTCTCCTATGAACATTTATTACAACAACAGGTTTACCTCCAATTATAGATAATTGGCTTGAATTTGAAGATCCATTTAATTTATTCTTGTTGTACTTCCATATTACTCCAATCAACTAAAAAATCTTTTATTAAATATCATTCGATATAAATTTTAGTACAATAATTTCAAATAATCCTATTAAAGCAAGCAGTACAGCAATTATTGCACTAGATAATGTCACATTTTGAGAAGATAAATTATCATTTGCTTCATCTTCTTCATTATGAATAAAGTTTAATACTGACAAAATTAACTGAAAGTAATCGTGAAATTATATAGAAATTTAAACGATGAGCATGGGATATTCCCCAAAATGTAAATTCTCGACGTTTTTTGGGCCGGGAATCCTTAATCCAAAAATCGCGAATTTAATTTTATATCTGCTATATCCCTGTATAAATAAGGTATGATCAAAGAGTGGCTGGAGGATCATTGCCTGGTTTTTGACTGATTATAAACACTGAAAATATGTATGTTTCTGATATCTCCACTCATAGAAAGTAACCTCAATATTTAACATAAAATACTCTGAAAAATTAAAAAGTCCTACAGAAATAAAAATCCATGAGGTTGTAAATATTCTTCCGTTCTTAGTTTCATAACATTTTATAAAAACTGTGGCACAAATTCGTTCAACAATAATTAGATGACAAAATATAATGCGAAAAAATATGGGAAGTTGTACAAGAAATTTTATTGGGATAAATCTGAATAAATTTTATTAAATCCGAATAAAATAATTTTTAATAATACCTAAATTCAGTCTGAAACCAAAAAATGTCCCCCGTAAAATATTTTATTGGACCAACGAAGAATAGCCTGATTAATGCTTCAAATATTATTAATCCGCTTTGCGATATTAAAATAAATTTGAGGTTTCGATGGTGTGATAGGAAAAAGAACAGCTGTCACTAAAT